ATGCTTTTTCCTTTTAATCCAAACCAAGCTTCCAGGCTGTGCCAGCAGAGGTCTAGGTAGTGCGCTCGCCTCTGGTGTTGGCTGGCGGACTAGCCGGTGGACTTCCTCTCTGGTCTGTTGTAATGCCTATAGAGACTTAAGGAGGTTTCTGTTAGTTATTCCCCCCATGTGTTCTTCCCCCACGCGGGGGAGAAGGGGAGGCGGTCTCCCAAACATAATTTCATAAGGAGTGAGCTTCTCAAGGTAGGGGGTACATCGAGCCCTCAGTAGGGCAAAAGGGAGTAGGCTCACACAAATCTCCCCCAGTTTCTAGTTTTAACTTAGTTAAGGTTTCTTTTATCGTCCTATTCATCCTCTCTACCTGCTCTGAACTCTGTGGCCGATAGACACAGTGGAGTTTCCACTTAATTTTTAGGGTAGTTGCCAATTGTTTGGTGACCTTGGCGATGAACGCTGGCCCATTGTCAGACCCCATGTAGACAGGTAAGCTGAATCGGGGCAGAATTTCAAAAACCAATTGTTTTACTACTACCTGGGCAGTCTCTCTCTTCATGGCGAATGCTTCTGGCCACCCGGAGAAAGTGTCCACAAACACAAGGAGATACCTGTATCCTCCCCGTGCCGGGGGCAGTTCAGTGAAGTCCACTTCCCAGTGCTCACCGGGGGTGCTGCCTCTGAACCGGGTTCCTGGTTCCTTCACTGGCACTGGATTGGGGTTGACTAATGCACAGGCGCGACATCTTCTGGCTATATCTCGAGTTAACTGGTCTAGTCCTTTAACTAGGTATTTCTTCTTTAGGAGTTCAGCTAATTTGACTTCACCCAAGTGTGTGGCCTGATGCGTCTGTTCCACCACCTGTCTTCCTAGGGCTTGGTGTAGGAGGATTCTTCCATCGGTCAGCTGGATCCACCCACCTGAGTTCCTCTGCCCCTGCAGTTTTTGCCCCCCCTCCTCTTCTTCCTTGGAGTTGAGGAGATTTGGGTCAGTTATCTGAGTTACCAGGATTTCAAGGGGCCGGATGTCACCCCTGGCTGCTGTTCTGGCGGCCTGGTCTGCTAACTGGTTTCCCCTTGCTATGTCAGTCTCTCCCCTCTGATGCCCTTTGTAGTGAATGCCACCTTCTCGGGCCCCCATATGGCGGATAGGAGACTCAGGATTTCTTGCGAGTTTTTAATGTCCTTCCCTCCGGCCGTGAGTAAGCCTCGCTCCTGGTATAGGGCACCGTGCACATGGACAGTGGTGAAGGCATATCTATTGTCAGTGTAGATATTAACCTTCTCCCCCTTGATCCACCTGAGGGTTTGAGTCAGGGCAATTAGTTCTGCCTTTTGAGTTGAGGTGCCGTGTCCCAGGGCTTGTGCCCAGATGACATCTTCTAGGGTCACTACCGTGGCCCCTGCATACTGAGTGCCCCCCTCTACGAAGCAGCTTCCATCAGTGAAGAGGGTGGCCTCCGCCTCGGGGATAGGGATGTCTGAAGATCCGCCCTCAATGAAGTTAAAGAGGTAAGGATTTCACTACAGTCATGTATTGGGGTGCCTTCCCCCGGGTCGGGAAGCAGGGTGGCCGGGTTCAGTGCAGCTGTCTGTAGAAAACTTATCCTTTGTGGGGTCTAAGAGTAAGACCTGGTATTGAGTCACTTGAGCATTTGACAGCCACCTGTCCGGGGGTGCCCGCAACAGCTGCTCAACGTTGTGAGGGGCTGTGATCTGGAGATTCTGCCCAAATGAGAGTTTAGAGGCTTCTGTTACCAAGAGGGCGGTCGCTGCCACCGCTCGGAGGCATCCTGGCCATCCCGCGGCCACGGGGTCCAGTCGTTTAGACAGGTATGCCACAGGTCTCCTCCAGGGACCTAAGGTCTGGGTCAGCACCCCCTTGGCTATCCCTCGAGCTTCAGCTACAAACAGATGGAAGGGCTTTTCCAGGTCGGGGAGGGCCAGGGCTGGGGCACTCACCAAAGCAGTCTTCAGCTTCTGGAAGGCCTCCTCCTCCTCCACTTCCCATCGGAGGGCAGGATCTGATCCTCCTGTGGCCGAGTACAGGGGCTTGGCAATTTCTGCAAATCCAGGGATCCAGAGCCGGCAGTATCCCACCGCCCCCAGGAACTCCCGTACTTGCCTCTTGGTAGTCGGTGTTGGGATCTGCAAGATGGCTTGTATCCTGCTGTCAGATAAAGTCCTTTCTCCCCCTTTCAGTCGGTACCCGAGGTAGGTGACTTCAGCTAGGCACAGCTGAGCCTTCTTCGCCGAGACTCGGTATCCCAGCTGCCCTAAGGTTCTTAGGAGGTCTCTAGTGGCTGCCTGGCACTCCACCCAAGTAGTAGTGGCGAGGAGGAGGTCGTCCACATGGAGGAGGGTGACTTCGGGGTGGTCCATGCGGAAGCCCTGGAGGTCCTGGCTGAGGGCCTCATCAAAAACGGTGGGAGAGTTCTTGAAACCCTGGGGAAGCCGGGTCCATGTTAACTGTCCTGATTCTCCCTTCTCTCGGTCTATCTACTCAAAGGCAAAGATAGGTTGGCTCTGAGGGGCCAGAGGCAGACAGAAAAAAGCATCTTTCAAGTCTAGAACCGAGTAGAACTTTTGATCAGGGCTCAGGAGGCTGAGTAGAGTATATGGGTTTGGGACCATGGGGTGAATAGTCTCTACTCTTTTGTTCACCTCTCAGAGATCCTGCACGGGCCTGAAGTCGGTGGTCCCAGGTTTCTGGACTGGAGGGAGGGGGGTGTTCCAGGCGGACCGACAAGGGGTTAGTATCCCTGCTTCTTTCAGTCTCTGAATGTGTTTGGCAATTCCTGCCCGGGCTTTGCTGCTACTCTGGTACTGACGGACCCGGACTGGGAGTGCTGTGCTCAGCAGCTGAACCACAATTGGGGGTCTGTGCCTTGCAAGTCCTGGCGGGTTTGTTTCAGCCCAAACTTCAGGAATCTCCTCCTTCCATAGAGATAGGAGGTCTGACTCAGGGTTGGTAGATGGGCTGGCATGAAGCCAGTACTCTTCCTCCAAGGGGAAAGTGACTAGAATCCTCTCCTCCCCAGTCCGAACCTCTGGCCCTTCGTTCGTGAAGGAAATGGTGGCCTTTAACTTTTGAAGCAGGTTGCGGCCGAGCAGAGGCTCTGGGCATTCAG